ATATATATTTACAAGTACAGCATTTGTAGATTGAGTCATTCAATGTAAGTATAAATATAAATAAAGAGATGTCAGTATAAGTCAAGTAGTACAACTAAACAAAGGCGATTATAAGTAATGGAAAATCATTCAAAGTCAAGTAGCATGTGAGAAAAGAGGCGAGTATAAGTTTAGTAGGGCAAGCGAAGAAAAGGAATTATAAGTAAAGGCGCTTAAGTATATATAAAGGAACTCAAAAGCAAGCAAATAAAAGTAAGTACAATAAAAGAGAATTGAAAATATGGACAATAAAATAAACATAAGTCAAGTAGCACCAATGAAAGAAAGAAAAAGCACGTATAGGAATCAATAAGTAAACAGATTTAAGTATAAGTAATCAAGAGTTAATGAGAACAGAGAACGATCAGTATTAAGGCCAGAGAAATTTGATTGATTTTTATTAAGCTCACAAAGGGGTTGCTGGAGAGAGGTTTATATTATTTTACAGAATATATGACAGTCAGATAGTAGAACGATCATACAGTCAAACATTACAAAACAACTGACAGTCGTATTTGCAGCAAAAGGATTAAAGATACTTATAAGTTATTAAAGCAAGAGAAACCCAACTGGATCTTATTATTTTATAGAATATCTGACAGGTGGAGTATAGTTACAGAAAAGTTAGAAAGGATCTGACAGTCATACAATACAGTTAACTCGTGATTATTTCCAACGAATATCATAATCTCTCTAAATGGTATTTCAAATAAAACATTAAATGTGTTGCAGGGTATTTATTAGTCCAGCATTCTTAAATCAACTTGACTTGAAATCCAATAAACTGTTTCAATTTTCTGCAGCTATTTAAAGCCAACTCTATTAATTACTTCTACATAGATCTGACTTCCATTTATGGTCAAGCATTTCACAGCTGTCAATCAAGCTCTACAGGGTGTCTCTGCAATTAATTAGCCCAGCTTGCGCCACTCTTATTGTCTTTTGTTAGCTATCCAGCACGCTTGAACACACACACACACAAGCACACATAACGCAAGTAATTGACACCTTTCGTTGTAACGCCCATACCAACACCTCTAGCTCTCGCCCTGTGTCGCCCTTTCCCCCTCTCTATGCATATCTCCATCTCTTTCTCTAACTGTTACCTCAGGCCCAGGCATTGGGCAAGTTTGTCACCAGCTGCAGTTTTTGCATATTTGCCCATAGCAAATTACTAAGTAAATTGAAATGCAATTGAACGAAATGTTGAAATGCAGCAGAGGAGAGGCAGACAGGTGGACAGGTGGCAGCAACAGGTAGCCAGGTTATGCAAAAATCAACAACAATAATAATAATCAGAAAGCAAAAAGCAAAACTCATAACAAATTAAGTGACCAGCGATGCCGTGTTGCACATGTGGCACAAGTTGACAATTACAGACACACACACACAAGCACACACACAGAGAGAAAGAGAGAGGGTGGAATTTCTGAGTGTGGCAACCAAAAGACTTAGGCAACGAACTCTAATTAATAATCAAGCACCGACTTTTTAATTAGCTAAATCGGTAAACTGACAGATCCTAGGCCCAGTTGACGAGCTAAACGATGAGCAAGGTCGTTGCATAAAATACATAAAAATCATATAAATAAAAGCCACAAGAAGATGATGAAGAAGAAGAGGCAGCAGTAGCAGCAGCAGCAGCAGCAGCAGCAGCAGCAGCAGCAGCTGAAGAGCAACACGCATGCGCATAAATTAAAGTCAAGTGAGAGTGAGAGTCCGAGTCAAAGCCGGAACCGGCAACAGACAGAAACTCGAATTTGTAGCCATATCTGGAGTCTGTAGTCGGCTGTTTGTGGTATTTGCATTTGACCAGAAAGCGCTCAGCCGATTGCATAAGTTGTGCAGTCGGCAGTAAAACATATGCTAAAGAGCTTCGACTAATTAAAAATGGGGTAGCTCTGCATATGCGGCTCACAAATTGGACTTGAAGCCAATCGAGCCATTCGGCTTCATTAATATGCCAAAAGCAGAAGCTGCACCAGAAGTCGAGCGTTGAGCAAGCTTTTAATTAAAAGTCGGACTCTAAGATGTTCACAATGATGTGGCCATTGCTGATGATGATGATGATGACGAAGATGATGATGATGATGCTGCTACATCTGCTGCTGTTCAACAGTTAGCTGAGCCAAAACGCTTGCAGCTGTAATTGCAGGCCAAAACTCACGAAAATTGTTTGTGGCCAAAACCAAAACCAAAGCCAAAAAAAAAAAAAACCGCATTCCAATTTTGATGTGTTTACTCATCCTCCATCCGTCCAGCCGTCCAGCCGTCCAGTCGTTGGCTGTGAGATTCATATTTCGTGTGTCGCCATTCACTTGATTGGCTAGAAAAACCTGTAACTCTCGGCCAGTTGCCAACTCGTCTGCCGCACGAAGTTTCCTTTTCCTTGCAGACGCATCTTTTGGCCAAAATATATATACAGCGTATATAAATAATTGCAAGTGAAAGGCAGCCAGGGCTAACAGGCGAAGCTATATACATATATCTTTATACATAAATCTTTATACATAAATCTGTATATGTGTATCTGCATCTGAACTTGTCACATTGCTTGGCTTGGCTTTCAGTTCGGGCCAAAAAGAAACAAAGTTTTATTTTTTTGGGTTTTCTTCTTCAAAAATAAAACCAATCAACTTTCTACACTCCAAATTCACATACAAATTGTTGGTTTGCATGCGTGCAGCATATTAAAAAAATGACGCTGCCTATTCAACAAGCACATACACACGCATACATATGCACAGTGTAACAGGTGCTGAAGTACTTTGGTGTGCGTGATCAGCCCTGGGGCCAAGTGCGGCTGCTGCTGTTGCTGCTGTCGAAAAGCAGGCCATTTGGCCAATTCTACTTGGGCAATGACAATCAGCTTATTGTTGCTTGGCCCAGGCGAAGGGTAGAGGGGGGGAGAGGGGGGACAGCGCTGTTATTTGCTTGGCCAACTAGCAATTAGCCATGAAACGCATTTGGCTCACATGTGTGTACACAACACTTTCTGGGTCGCGCGTCTGCCAAAACGAAATTGGCATAAAAAAAAAATGAAAAACAAAACTTAAATAAAATCGAACATTACAAATCTTTTGTAAAGGTTACAAATGCGCGCTGCCATGAACCAAATGGCCATTAATGATGGCCTATTGATTTTTGCTGGCTTGAGCACTCAGTCGCAAATTGAAAGGTGACTGCAGCATCTGCAGCGAAAGGAGGGCACACGCTGATTGTTTTTGTGATTTTTGTTTATGTTGATGTTTTTGTTGCATGCTGCTGTCTGTTATTGTTGCACTTCAAAAACAGTAAAGACGAAGCTGCAACACACACATTCTGTTTGGCAATCGGCGGATCGGTCATTATTTGCATTAGATGGCGCTGCATTGCGCATACGCCGCATTGGCCGCGCTGACAATGCACAAATGTGCGCGATGCTCGCGATTACACAAGATCTTTTGGGCCTGATTGCAGTCTAGTCACTAACTAGTTGCATGCAACATAAAGCAAACAAAAACACAGCACATATAGTCGCAGCCGTAACAAGTGCCAAGTTGAAGCTCCTGCACTTCACACTGAGCTGGCACCTGCTGCTGCTGCTGCTGCTGTTGTTGCTTCTGCTGCTGCCACAATTGTTCAGGCAGCCGGAAGACACTTTACAGCTGAGTTGCTGCTGCTGCTGCTGCTGCTGCTGCTTAGCTCTTGCTTATTTACAGTTGTGGCTCGTCGCTGGTTGCTTGCTGCCTGTTGCTCATCACATTTGTGACATAATTTATCAATGTCAATGGAAGAATGCAAACAGCTGGCCGAGTTCAGGCGGGTCAAGCGTTGACATCTGCCCACAGTTAACTGATAAGTGGACTTTACTTATGCAACAGCCCGCTCAGCTGGCCAGCAAACAAAACAAAAGTAAAAGTGCTGTAGGCGGGCATGCCTGACTAGCCGTCAAGCTGATGTTGCTGATATAAATCTGTAATCTTGCTTTGCTTTAGATAAACGAATTTAATTTAGCATAAAATGCATTATATATAAAGTTTTTTATATTTTCTCAACTGTTTTTATCGCAGCATTGTATTGATAAAGAAAATCCTTAAACTCTTCCTCTAATCCTACCTGTTGCTTTTAGCATACTTTTTGCTCGTAATATTCATTTATTATTCTATATATTAATTAAGCACAAGCATGCATATCCTGTGCTTTCTCCTTTCCACTTTAAGAATTATTGCATTGATAATTTCTTTTCCTATTCCAATTATCTCAGAAGAGTACTTCAAATACAGAATCTAAGATTACAGCTTGGGACAAATTCGAGTTTTTTTCATCCTATAAAAATAAATATAATAGGCATTCTGAAAGCAAAAAATATTCCTAAGCTATGGATACTGTTAATGTATATATGCCTATCTCTTAAACTCTTTAACTAATGCCAAAACAAGATTTTGAGTATATGAGACACGGAAAATAAATAATATAATACAGCGGAGCCCCCATAGTTCCAAACGGCAAGAGGATCAAATTTTTGTTGATTTACACAGAAATTCAAATTATCAAGAATACATTTTTTGCAAGGATATAGCATTTTTTCGATATATCGGAAGTTTCGATTAGCGGGGCTCAAATTCAGACTATCCAGTCTAAAACATTAAAAGATAATGAAGACATAAGAGAAAATAGTGCTAAAAATTTTTATATTCTTGATATTACAATTAGATATAAATACATTCAAAATGCTTTAATAAAACTATGTACTAAGTTAACCAGAAAGAGAGATAGAGAGAGATAGAGAGAGAGAGAGAGAGAGAGAGTGAGAGAGAGTGAGAGAGAGAGACTAAGCCAAGCTCAAGAATAAATCAACTTCATAAAGTTTAAATCCTAGATCTATGCATATGATAACAGCTTGTTCCTGGCACACACACACACACAATCAGCATACCCCATCTATAATATACCCCCAACAATGGGTATTCGATACTCACCAGCAATGGCAAATGTTGCAAGCGCATCTTGCAGGATAAACGTTCAAGTCAGCTAATCCGCTAAGCAGCACTTGTTGTATAATGCAGCTGCTTGTTAACTAATTACACTACACTAACTACACTGCACAGCATAGGCCACGTTTGTGTATATTTATATATAAATATATTTATATATATGTGTGTATGTATATGTATTTCGATAGGTTATCCTGGCACACTTGTCGCGCCGCACTTGCAAAAAACCCGCAAAATACCAACAACAAATTGTGCAGAGCGCAACGCGTCCAAACTGAAACGCGGCCGAAATATAACTGAAACTTGATGCCAAGCAGAGCTTGGCCAAGTCAACAGAAACAGACAGAGCGAGAGAGAGAGCAAACGATCGAACGAGTGACAAAGAGAGTGAATGAATGAAGAAGACTTCACCACGAGGTGAATTGCAGAGCTGCTGCTGCTTCTGCTGCTGCTGCTGCGACGTCTGCAAAACTGTGGACTTGAGCATTCTCAATCAATTCAGATTGAAAGTGAATCTGAATACACATACACAGAGCAGCACTCACTCACACACACACACACACACACACACTGGCATTACATCGCATTTGGCTAAGAGCAGAAAAGTACTTAATCATGCTCGCAATTACGTCCATGCGCAGAGCAAATGTTTAGAGAGTAGAGCCAGAAAAGTGGCAAATATTTATAAAAATAATAAAATGTGTGGCAGACAAAAAAAAAAAAAAAAAAAAAAACAAAAAAAAAAAAAGAGATCAAAGATCACAAATGCGCGCATAATGAGCGGTTATCGAAAGGCGATTTGTCTTACTGTGGAACAGAAAAGCATAAGCATTTCAGTTCGCAGTTGGCAAATGAGCGGCAAATACCAAAAAAAAATAAATAATAATAAACAATAGTAAATAGCAAGTAGTAAAATAAGCATAAATAAAAGCCACTCATAATGGCAGCTCATATGGAGAGGGCTGATTGATTTTGCAAATTATCTTGGCTTAAATATGTATGTATATGACTTGGCTAATGATCAATTATTATTGTCATTATTTGGCCAATTAGTCAAGAAAATAATAATTAATATTATTCAAATAAGTTTTTGTAGCTTTGATAAACTACGTCTCATCAAAGCTGCAGTCCTGACTTTTTTGTGATTCCCCATACATACACATATACATATACATATATATATTTATTAATTTTATTTCTATTTTGTTACTTTCGTAAAAATGGCTTAAAAACCTCAAGACACACAAATCATTTACGCCCATTTTTTATAGGAAATAGACAGATATAATTGATACATCTTCCCCGTTTCCGTTGCTCTTGTTGGAGTATAATTGCTAAGCAGGAAGAGATAGAGGTTGATTGCTCTATATATATCATCTCAAATTACTTTATATAAGACATAATCCCAAATATAAATATCACTGATATTTATTTACCTTTACTTCTCATTTGCCAAAAATTGAATGAGATCAACAATGCAAATTTTTGCAATAAAATATTTAAATAAAGACATAAATTTCAAACTGAGTGTCTATCAATTTTTGCTTACGAGCTTTATGGCTTAATATGGATCAGTCTGAATTGATATAGAATATAAATTTATTTTTTTCTTTTTTTATTATTTATTTTTGAAGAGTTTTATTTTGTACAATTTTTTCGATTTTTGTTTTATTTTCACACATTTTGATTTATTATCAGATCTTATAAGAAATGGCATACAATATCTGCCATTGATGCGTGTGCGAAATAAATTAAAGAATCCAAGTTCAAAGCATCTATAAAACAGAATTTCATTCCAAGAAATCTCCTGCCTAAGCTCTAACTAGCAAAGCGATTATCCTTTATAATAACCCTCTACATTTAACATATTAACATATATCGTATACATATATCGTACTCTTATCTAGATCCTACAAAAGGCCAATGGGGTGCAGCGGCAAATCTCAGCCAAAGCAATCTCATAAATTGAATCACAAATGCGAGCCGCCAAGGTGTTCGACTGTATGCAAAAAAAAACCACTCTTCGGCTTCTTTTAAAGTGTGGGTCACAGTTGTTGTTGCATAATTTGACGCAATTAAATGTTAGCTAGCGGGCAGACAAGTGAGGCTCATTACACACCTTCATAAATATCAAGCATACGCAGCGTGCGACAATTGTCAAGATTAGCGATGCATGCAAATGCCAAGCAGATGAGCGGAATGGCGCCCCCATCTGACTGTCTGATTGTACGATTGTCTCTCTGCCTTTGGCTCTGTCTCCGTCTCTGTCTCTGTCGCTGCATGTGTCTGGGTGACTGACTGACGCTCAGTGACCATGGCCAGGTAATTTTGCAGCCGCCAAAAATCAATGACCGACCGGTTTTGCATAGGCTTTCAGTGTCTCTTCACTTGGCGCTGTCCATGTCGCACTAACGTAACAACTTTCGCTGAAACGTCATTCACAACAACAACAACAGCAACAACAACAACAATGAAAACTACAACTGCAAATGGCAAAAGGCAGCAGATAAAGCCAAACGATGGCATCAACAAAAGCAAAAGCCATAGCCAAAGCCAAAAGGCAAAGCCAATGATGAAGCAGAAGAAATTTCGATTTCAGTGTCGCCTTTTGCCTTGTTTGGCTATTAACGCAAGTCTAGACCAGTTTGTGCCAGCAGCAAAACAGAAAAACAAAAACAAAATCAAATAAAAAACGGAGCAGGAGCAACAGCAATAGCAACAGCAACAGCAACATCTCAGCTCCATTTGTAGCTAACAAATTTTTGTCAGACTTTCGAGTGGCTGCTGCCGCTGCTGCTGCTGCTGCTGGAAGAGACTCATTTGAATAATTGAAAACCACTTGCACTGCAATTAAGAGCATAAAATGAAATGTTTGATTTGCTACACGTTTCAAAGTCATTCAAAATTGACTGCACTCGCTTCAATTGCCGGAAAATTTCGCTCATCTTCAACGGCGCAGCACTAAAATAACAAACGAGAAACCCAGCCTAAGAGTCAAATGACTTTGGAACAGACATGCTACACACACACAGTCACACACACACACACACATACATGCTCTGCACACACCGGAAATTGTTAAGCACATGCCATGTGAGCATGGGAGCTACAGAGACTCGTCGAAAAGTCGACAGAAAGAAAACCCAAATCCCCAATTTGAGCACACGGCCACGCCCCTCTTTCAAAGGCAACGCGACAACATTCTCAGCCCCAGCATATTTTATGTATTTATTTTTATGTGCGACTTGGCCAAAAAATTCACTTTCATGCAGCCATCACGCAAATCGTCAGCATAGAGAGTCTGACTGAGATTGTCTATATGTATGTATGTATGTATGTATATAAATCTGAAATTGGATTTTAATTTAAAAACTCAAGACCACCAAACCCTCTAAGCAACGGCTGCACTGGTCAAAGAGGCGGGATTAGCTTATGAAAGATAGAAAGAAATTCGTCTCAGTTGGGTCTTAGACTACTTTTGAATAGTTAAAGCGTAGAAATCTAATCAAATTGATTTAGTTTAATGAAATATATTTTTTTTTCTATATATATGACTACGTCTTTCTACAAACCATAATCCAACAACAAAATTGATTTATTTTAATGAAATATATTTCTGTATATATATATATGACTAAGCCCTTCTACATATTGCTACTATATTATAATCCAACAATAATATTATTTTAATAAGCTTAAAAAAAACTTGCAATAAAATGTTTTTAGTCAGTTACTACAAAATAAAATCTGATAGTAGAAGTTTTAGAACTTACCATCAATTGTTTAGCAGTCGTAAAATAAAACTATCCAATGTGATTTGCATATCTTAGAGAATAGTATGGGATTGATTGACGATTTTGTCTAAGATATCTCATATAATAGGAAACCATTTCATGCTTAATTTCTCTATGTCCCTCTCTCTCTCTCTATCTGCACTTTTCTTTAGTCCGATGTGCCTATAAAAAAGAAGGTGAAATCGTATAATTATGTGATTCCAAATATTGGAACAATAAGCAAGTCTTATAAGAAAGAAACCCAAATCAATAAGAATATACAAAATCAGGCCACACAGAAGACATTCATAGCAAGACAACGTAAGGCTAAAGCTTCAAGACTAAATTGAAATATGAATATTACTATATATACTTAAATACACCGAAAATATACAAATGTTTCTTCACTTCACAATAAAATAAATACAAACCTAAAATATAAAACATCTAAATATATAATTATGTATATATACAT